ACACTTAGTGTATAAATTTTTTTTTCAAACTTGCTACACACGCACTATGATGGTGCAACACCTTGATGGTGCAGTAGCGTTTGTGCCTTTTTATAGTAGGTTATTGACTTAAAAGCACGAAGTCACTGTGATATATCCATGTTCTGATGGCGATGTACGCTTGTACCATACACAATCACGGCAATATTTCATATTGCATTGTGAAGCATGTATACAGGACGTGTGTGTTTGTAAACTGCCCTTATACAAGCAGAGGAAGTTATTTTCCCTGTAATCACTTGCAGGGGCATGGCTTTCCACGGAAACGACCCTGGTTCGATCAGCACTCAGACCCATACTATCTGGGTTTTGATCCCCACTGGCACCCAGAATTCCTTTATTTGCATCTTCCTCGACCTTCGGTCACGCAAAAATGATTTTTCACTCACTACCAATGACGCCAACGCCGACGCCAAAATTTCTACAAAATGAACCCTTTAATGCTATTGTGTTAAAAGTTGGATGAGCTGCTATAGTCTGCGACTGGTATTGTTAGCGCTGGGTATCAACTAGTGTCCAGTGATAAACACTTTACGCAATGTGCTGTCCTGAAGGCTTATGAAATTCAACAAATAAAAGTATTCGTCATGGGTGATCATCGTAATATGCTGTATAACAATTGACCGCTGGGCTAGCTGGTCATAGTTCTATAACATATTCTGATCAGCGAAAAATACGGTGTGTACCAGAGAAGATTAAAGGACACACCTCAGCGCTGACCTAGCGACCAAGTTTGCCAAGCATGACAATTCAGCATGGTTGCCATCTGACGACATAAGTGAGGAGGAGGAGGAGGATTGAAAGAGGAAGGACAGAGAGGTTAGCCAGGTCATAAGTGAAGTGGTCACATGGGTGGCAAGCTGTCAGCGTATAAGTGAGCTTGCACTACAAAAAGAAAAAAAGTGCGAGTTCAGCACTGAGGTTTGTTCTTCGACATCCTATACACCACACGCTGTGTCACGCGCTACTTTCAAGATGTTCAATAAGTGACTATCATAACCTCTATTAGTAATTGTGTCAAACCTCGCATAATGAGCAGTACAGTGCAAAATTCGCTAACCTGTACGTTGAAATAGCGTTGAATCTTCGAGGGCATGTATCACGCCGAGCTTCATATCCCAGGACTGTCAAACGAAGAGAAGCAGACTTTTTAAATAAATAGGCGCATGCATATTCCGCCGAAGCACAAATTGTCATAACATTCCGCTCTATAGCCATTGCCAACGAGACGGACTTGCACTATCAGTTGCATGTACTGCCCACGTCTGCTCGTAAAGCAATGAACGTAGCTAATCTAGTAAGTAACGCGCATGCGCACACCTTCATGCACATATAGTTCCACATCGACTCATTTTCTTTCTACCTTTTATGCTGCAGGCTCATTACACTGCCTCGCAATATGGTGCAGATACTGCTTTGCGAAAACCACGAAAAAATGTATGGGAGCATTCCGGATTACTCTAGGTTCATGTGTTTCACTTGGGCGCGCAAAAGTGAACAGCCGAGTTTATTCTCGAACGAACGCAGCCACCAGCGATAACGCTCGAACGTCCCATGCCACACGTATAAATGCCCACGTGCCTTGTTGGGAATCACATTATCGACAGCCGACAACAATCACTGATATCGGTGTACAGCGTACATTGCTAACTGTATTCAGAGTTTTGTAATGCGCCAAATGTTGCCTTCTTTATAGCGTCAGGACACTGAGACCAGCAACAATGCTCCACAAGGATTGCGACTGCCGGTTCTAGTTCATCCTTCTGTAAGCGCTATAAATATAATGCCTACAGAAAGAGAAACAAACGCCCACGATCACAGAACTGATGCAGAACATTCTGATAACTGTCGCCAAGCCAGGCTGCTCGCTCAACGTCCATTGACACAATCGTATATACTGTAAAGAGGTTTACTAGGCGAGTCGAAAAAGCGAATATGGCAACAAACAAATTGAATGAGTAGAAGTGTGGCGCCTTGGGCTAGTTAGTATGGCATGACTATAGTTATAGCTCGAAAACAAAATGACGACACAGAGACAAGAAGGTCTCCTTCGTGTCCTTCGTGTCCTTCTTGTCTCTGTGTCGTCGTTTTGTTCTCGCGCTATAACTATAGTCATGAGTGAGTAGGTCAGCTTACTCGTAGGTGTTCCAAAACCAAGAGAGCTTAAAATATGCAGTGTAACAAACAACCTCACAGAAACATTTCAAGTGAAACGCTCCAATAGTTGACGGGTTCATATACGCTAACCCACACCATCGCTGAACATCAGCCTAAGCCCTCTAATCCCTTTTTGTTGGAAATTACGCACATAGCATGACCTCCAAGATTAGTCGGCAAGCGCTTCCCTCGATCTCGAAGGTCATTCTCGTTTAGAAAAGATGGGAGATTCATACGTTGAAAACAGAGGTGGAGCGTTGAGCGACCCATACTTCATAAGGTTTTGTATGTCGCTCCAATATTACCATATTGTGACGGGTTAGTGACGTGGAAAAAAGGAGCCGACTCAATGTTACGATGAAACTCTTTATTCGACTGAACTTGTGGCCGGAAAAACGAGAATTCAGATTACAGCAACGCACTGGCACTGCTAGCGGCTAACAGAACGTCGGCCGTCGATCAACTGACAAGCGGCGAAGTTCATCGGAATTTATTCAAGTGCGTCGAATATTCCAACTTTATGACGGGTCGTCACGCAAGTTCTGAAAATAGTTTCGAGTGTTCGCGTCTTGCGCGCAATCTTGACAGAACGATCACCATGATCATGAACCTTCTCGAACAATGAGGCGCAGTTCGCAAAGAGCATCCCTGATAGGCTTTGTGGGCTAAATACAAAAAAACAAAAAAGTGAAAACGGGAAAAAAAACACGGGTGGCAACATAATTTCTTACGGAATCCATGCAGAGCCCGTACATTTCAGTTATGTTTGCCTTATACTTCCGTAAGACCCTCAGGGAAACATTTGGAGCAATTGGAGTTTCATAAGGAAGGTTTGAGGATACGTTATAGAATTATGGCGGCTAATAGTGTTCTCCAGAGTGTTACCTGACTATAAACGCGACATTGGCATATTAATGGCAAGGTACAGTATCAGGTCATGAAGTGCACTTACCCCATTGTCCAGCTGTGCTGCGAGAAGCCGAGTTCCAGGAATTGTCTTGTGCACCGCTGGAGCATACTGTTCACGAAGGACCCCAAAGCGCAATGATTACTAAAATTTATCGACCATGATCGCACGTGCACATTCAATGACCACCATGAATAAACGCCAAGTGTTATCCTCGATCTCCACTGACTGCACTGCGTGAGTTCGTTGGAAAGGACCATTAAAATTCACATACTTAAGTGTTTTATCGTTAATTGATCTATAAAAAATTATGCTTGGTTCACCCGCGCAAACCAGAAAACAATGTAACAGAAGATATTTTACCTGTTGATTATGAACGATGTCGTTGAGCACTGAAGAAGAAAATAGGCAAAGGAATCAAGTTAAATACTCGAATCTTTATTTATACATATCATTGCGGCTACATATTATTGTCGTCCCATAGCAGCGCAGCACAAGTGCATAACCGAGAGTTTCACAACCGTAAAAGGCTCCTGTATTGAACAAGGGAGAAAATTTTCATCTTGTACAGCCCGTGTCAGAAGTTTTGAAACCACGGGACACTAGAATAAGCTGAACACCCACACTGAGACATCAGGAAACCTTGTATTTAGATATTGGTCCTGTTATAAAACACACTAACAGCATAGGTCATGCAGTACGACCGAACGTAGTCAGCAATCGCTGAGAAATAAGTTCTCGTACGTCGTACTTTCTAAACTTTTCGTGCCGACTTCACCCATGATATATGGCAGCCATGCTGCATGAGCGGATTCTCAAGACGCAGCCATGCTTTCGTGGTAGCTCTGCTCTGTATCGACATACTGTAATCTGTAGACTACTTGCTCGATATATCCACACTAGCGGCGGCTGCTGCGCTGACAGGTTGAGCCCAGAGATCGTGCGAAGAGATATGATCCTCCTCATCGTTCAGCGCACACACGCATGGTTCAAGAGGCTGGCAACATGCATGTGACAATATATGCTTCGAACAAAGTCAGTTCGATACCTTTTATATAGAGTACACTGTCTGATAGCTTCGTTATCTGCGGCTACCCGATACCCTATACGGGCAGCACATGACTGCAGAATGCACTCGTCGAGCTCATTTCGAATACAACGAGTTGGTTCGAAGGTTCAAGGCGCAGAATCAAGCTACGACTTGACGTTGCGCTTTCATCATTGCGTTGGAAGCTCGAACCAAGCCAACAAATTTCGGAGATCCTCTTGTCTTCACCATCCATTAAAAATTACTCACATACCCTAGTGAAAATCAAGACAGGATACGATTGTGAGGCATGATGGAGAGACGAATGTGGATAAATTTGGGCCACAAGTGGTTTTTTAACGAATACCTAAATCTAAGCGCAGAGCCTTAAATTTGGTTCTCATAGAAATGCGGTTATCGTGACTGGGAATTGAACCCGTGGCCTCGAGCATGGCAGATCTTCTCGTCTTTCGTTCTCAACATAAGACACTCGGAACAGATTTAAAAAATCGACTTCTTTTCCATGCGACTTTGTGTTTCGGAAGATTAGGAGAAGAAGAAACGATAAAATAAATAGAAGGGAAGACAGGAATGTTAGTTATTAAGCCAGTTGACTCTTCTGTGCTGGGCGAAGATCAATAGAGAACGTCCTCTAAACGAATCTCGTGCTCACTGCTTTTGATTGATTGATATGTGGGGTTTACTGTTCCAAAATCACCATACGATTATGAGAGACGCCGTAGAGGAAGGCTCCGGAATTTTTGATCACCTGGAGTTTTTTAACGTGCAGCCATATCTGAGCACACAGGCCTACAGCATTTTCGCTTACGTCAAAAACTCACTGCTTTCGAAGCTAGTCATGTTGAAGAGAGTGGATCCACCGCCGTTCCAAAGTCTTATCTTCATCATGACGTCCTTGCTGGCCGTGAAGCCATAACCCCTCGGTGTCACATTTGATTCTGGAACGTGGATAAACGGTCAGAGTTAGAACCCATTAGTTAATTAAAAAGATACAAGAACCAAAGGTACTACACAGCAGTAAGCAATGTATAGTAAAAGCTCAAACATCTTTCAATCACAAAATGGATTCATGAGCGCGCTGTTCATTGCATTGTTCGCGAACAGGAAGTGTTTTAAAGTGGTATAGTACACATGTGTAATGCGAAACCTCGGGACATGTGGGGTGTGTTGATGGCATGTGTGTAAACGTTTGCGCCATTCTTGAAATAAAAATATTACAAGTTCGCGCTTCGTGCATGTATAATCGTGTCTCCCTTCTGTGCACGTCTCGTGCGCGAAACCTTCTTAAAAAAGGCAAATAAAGTGTCCTGATTGAGCAATTGATTAGAACACAAAAGTACGCTCATTCTAGACAACAGCCAGCAACCAGCATTTCGTCGCGTCACCATAGGGTTTGTGTGCCAGCGTACTTAACGAGATAGCTGGGGCACCCTGCATACCATAAAGATTAGAGGGGTGGGGTGATGGCCACCATTTTGTTTCTTTTGGTAGAGCATCGAACGCGTTACCCGAAGGAAGCACGTTCGGTCTCTGCCAGCAGTAAATTATCTATCCATTTACGTTTCTTTCTATTCAGATTAAAATTAGCACTGATGACATCGCCTATACTTTCTTCGGCATCATTGTCTGTTAGTTCTCAATAATATTGTGCTAAAAATGGGTAAGGGTGCTGGAGATCTCAAGAAAGGCGCCGAGAATGGATATCAATTTATTTCTGACAAAGCATAAAAGTAGCAGTACACCTACCATTCGTTGTAATATACAATCGCGATCATAATATGTGAACGCGCGCAGCGAAGTTGGAGCTATAACAAAGCAGAATAGGGTAATTCTCTCCTTTATTTTTAATACGCTTGCCACTTAACGTTTCACGAAGTTCTATTAGTAAAAGTGCCCGTCTGACTTCCGAGCATGAAACTATTAGGGAATTCACGTCCTCCGTTCGGGTCGGCGTACACGAAGAGTTCTTACGCTGAATCTGTGCGTTATATGACGTTTCCGCCAATTTTGATGCAGCACGTGTTATTAGCCAGAACACGCACGCGCGCACACACTCTCTCACACACACACACGCACACGCACACGCACGCGCACACGCACGCACACACACACACACACACACACACACACACACACACACACACACACACACACACACACACACACACACACAAGCGCGCGCGCGCGCGAAGGAATAGCCCACCTGACGAAACCAGCGAGGCGCGATGCTTGTCCAGTCCATCAACCATACGCGCAAATGATATCTTCGAAGTCTGCCACCAGAAAAAAAATACAATAAAACGAATAATGTTACAATTACAACAATGAACATTTACAGTAATGTTACAAGTACCTAACAATAGAACTATTGTCCCTAGACATAATAGAACAAATAATGTTACTGACGTAAACTTGACCGACAGGCACAGATCGTTGTAGCTCCTAGAGGAAACGGTAATAGCTCATGTTGTAATACACAACAAACAAACAAAATCTTCAGGATGTAAATTTGTAACAAAATTAAGTTAATTTTAGTTTCCAGTGTGGAGATATCGAATCTCGACCGCCATGACCAGATTTCTGGTGGAGACACAAGTGTACTAGTCTCTTGTACTTACTTTTAGGTGCATTACAAAAAAAAAAAAAACTCCAAGTCATCCAACCTCCCAGAGCCCTCCACTGTGGCGTCTGGTATGATCGTCTCGTACTTTTGCGACGTTAAGTTGCATTAATTATTATTTTATTGTTGTTGTCTTTGCTGTTGTTCCCGCTACGACAACCGTGTTTCGCTATTCGCTATTTTGTGCTCACGTTGAGGACGTCACTGACGAGGAACTTCATGAGGGTCTTCCTGTAACCGTGCACGAAAATGCCCAAGAGGTCCACGCCGGTGTTGATGCGGAAGTCACAGGTGATGACAAAGACGCCACCAACGCTTAAAAAGAAGAATGCGCCTAATATAGCAATTGTACGCGAATTGACCTAAATGTTTTACGCTTCATGCGAAACAGAAAACCAGCGCTCGCCTTGATCAAGGATTGAGTGGAAGAGGGAGCATGCGAATGCATTTACCACGCAGATGTCCCGGATAAAAAAAAAGGAGGTCCCGGATAAAAAACTCCCGGGGCTCTAACTCATTCGCCAAAGACGACTCGATGACAAAAGTCATGTTATTTTTCTTTTCATTCAATACAATAGATTTGTAGATCTGGCCCTGACGGTGAAGATTTCAACCACGAACTTCCTTCTACGTGGACTCCGAGATCAGCTTCGGCAGTGCGCAGATCATAAGGCTAACCCAAACAATACACCAGGAAACATGAACGCCGAGTTCAGAGTGCCAATACCAGACACTTAAGTCAAGGATTAGCTTCACCTACTGTTTTTTATACTTCTATGGCTTGTTCTGTTTATTTTTTTTATAGTTTCGCGTACTTTCTACTCGCAATATATGCGCCCCACCATGGTGTTCTTGTGGCTAAGATACTCGGCTGCTGACCCACAGGCCGCAAGATCAATTGCCGGTTGCGACGGCTGCACTTTTGATGGAGGCGAAAATGCTGTAGGCCGGTGTGCTCAGATGTGGGTGCACGTTACAGTGACACCAGGTGGTCCGAATTTCCGGAGCCCTCCAGTACAGCTTCTCTCAATCACATGGTTGTTTTAGGATGTTAAACGCCACGTATCAAATTGCGAGAGATATCACCTATCTATAACAGCGACGAGTTGACAAGCCGTGTCGTACATCACGAATCCACATATGATCAGCGCCGACGCCGTGTACGTATGGAAAAGGAGCCGGTAGTTTATGGTCACGTCTTGGCAGCTGGACGCTCCGCAGGTACCCACAGAGCGGAGTGCGAGAATCGACATCGACACGACTGCCGTGATGTTTGTCAGCACCAGAATCACCTGGAACAGCTGGTAAATGTGCGGCTGGTGGATGCGAACCTGCGACCAGCGATGAACAGTATTGACCACTCGGCGCTTAACCTGGTGCACTAACGTGGCGCCATGGTGAACGTTACGCAAGCTCATGTCATAGGAAAACTTCGCCTAGCGGTTATTTATGAATAATTGAATGAACGAATGAATGAATCAATCAATCAATAAATCAATCAATCGATCAACCACTCTGGTTTTTAACGTCCGGAATCCACGATATGATCCTAAGACTACGTAAAAGAGGGCTCCTGAAATTTTGACCACCTGGTGTTCTTTAGCATGCACTGACATAGTACATAGGCCTCTAACATTTCGTGTCCATCTAAACGCGACTACCGTGGCTGGCTTCGAGCCCGTGGTCTTCGTACAATGAGTGAGTGAGTGAGTGAGTGAGTGAGTGAGTGAGTGAGTGAGTGAGTGAGTGAGTGAGTGAGTGATATTCAACGTGGAAGAGGTCCCTTTGCGCTCTTGTGCCATGTAGGACAGTGTAAGGAAGTTGATTAAAGAGGCGAGGTGGGTGTGGCAGTGTCACGGACGGCTATTTTCGGCGACACCGCGTCACGGCAATTAACGGGCGCCGTACTCCCCGACTGACCGTAAGAAACGGCGGCACATGAAAGGCAACCGATAAGTGCAAAATGGGGGTGCTCTCCTTAGAACGTCGCCGCCGACAGTTAATCCTTTTATAACCGTGGCGACGTCTGCAAGGTCGTAGAAGGCCGCGGTATACCCCGTACAAGGATTAGACTACAAGACGCCCGGCTGAGAGCTAAGTGGTTGACCGTTCCCACAGAGAAAAGCGTGGGAAACGCTCTGGTGGCCAAGCCGTATGACAACCCGACAGGTTGTCACTCTCGCTAGTTGCGGGCCCTCTCCCTATTAAAAAGGGGTGGGGTCAAAATATTTTTGGGGCGGAGTTTCCCCTCAATTAAACGCGCATGATTGGACCCAGGTAGAGGTCTCTTGTTCCCAAAGAAGAGAGCGAGGAGACACGAGGGGGATTTAACCGCAGGATTTCGCCCTGCTAGGCAGACTAGTCGCTGACCAAGATGGTGTAGGAACAGATCAACAAGCATCTCTTCTAGAAGTTTTAGTGTGGCTCTGTATCGGCTGGCCACCTAAACGTAGCCGTTCGTCTAGTTGTGACGCGATATTAACGTCTGCAACGTAGACATCGGGACTTCACCTCGAGTTAGCTCAACCTGCTCGAAGTCACCTGCAAGCACTAGCCTCCCGGAGCCACCAGCGTTGCAACACCGCCGACATCGCAGTCGTGCCAGAATTCTCTTCGACTTCTCGCTTCCGATCGTCGGGGACGCAACGCTGCCGGTCATCACACGTATGCCTTCACCTGTTTATATCTTCGAACTTTATACTCCGTAGTTCTATTGTTGTTAGTTTGTGTAGTTTGTGATAGTTCTCTCGCGTAAGCTGATTTATTGTTTTGTATATATTTTTAGTTGCATCAAGTGTTGACGTGCTTTGTTAGTTGTATCGAAGTGTTGTATTATATCCCGTGTGCTGCAATATCACTATAGTAAAGTTTGTTTTGTTTTCTCACGTCTCTGATCTCTTCACTGTCTCTGCTTGCGTACGGAACGAACCAACCTGCTGTCATTCCCGTCGCCGACTTCGCGCTGGCGACGCTAGAGTGGCAGCTTGTAACAAAACTGGCATCCGCGAGACAGGACGTTCCGTACAAGAGTAAGACAGTGAGGGGTGAACGAGAACCGTGCGGACAGCGGGGTGATAGAGCCGCACAGTTGAAGTGGTTGTAGCCTGCATAAGATTGCGCTGGTTTTATAGTGGAATTATAGTGACAGTTTGCAGTATGAAGTGTATAGATTCGGATAAGTGTATCGCGCAAGGTAAACAGTTAGGCCTCGAGAGCGCCGAACTGAGACAATGGGTTGAGGAGCAGCAGGAACAGGCGCAGGCGTTAGCCAGAGAAGAGCGGGCACTGGCCCGGGAGGAAAAAGAAAGGGAGAGAGAACGGGAGGAAAAGGAGAGAGAGCGCAAAGAAAGGGCGAAAGAACGAGAAGCGGCAAGGAAAGCGGCAAGGGAAGCCGGAGAACGGGAAGTGCAGTTACTGCAATTAGAGATTCGCCTCAGTGAGGGTAGCAGGGTGAGCCGATCCAGCAATGAGCACGGCGATGCCGGCGAGGAACTGTCAGTTGAGCGAGACACATGGTGTCAAGGGCTACTCACGGGTCTGCCTTGCGAGGCAAATGAAGCTGTTGCGCGACTCAGTCAGCAGAACGCGAACAACTACAAGGTAGTTAAGGCAGATATGCTCCGGATGTTCGGAACTTCTGTCTGGACAAAAGAAGAGCAGCTCAGACAAGAGTCTGAAAGCAAGGCGCGTCGGAAAGCGTTGGACATTGAAGCGCGTCATGAAACGCCAGAACCAGAAATCGCGCTAGAAAAGGGCCCGCATATTCTCGAATGCATCCATATAAATTATGTAGAGAACGAGGCCTTGGCCGGTCTCGAGGTAGAGACAGTATCAAAAAACGGTCCTAGCGAGGATGAGGTGTGTGCCAGCAGCCCTAATGGACTCAGTAAGAAGCTGGAAACCATCCTCATGCCTCGAGAGGACGTCTCGAGATCGTCACATGCAGATAGGGTTAGCACAGTGGCTAAACTTAGCGAGAACGCGACAGTTCAGGAGTGCAGCGATGCCACCGCAGAGGGCCCAGTTAATGATTCTATCAGCGTTAACAAACATAATTTGGCCCGGCAGTCCGTCATGACACCGAGTTCAAAATGTTTGAGCGTGGGGAAAAATGTAGCACAAGCTCCAATGAGCTTCTCAACCCCTCAGTTCCCGACGCGACTTGATGATGGCATCGAGAGAAAGGGAGCAAGCAAACATCGCCGGAAACGAAAGAAGCGGAAGCGCACTGCGCTGCGCAAGCCTAGGTCAGGCCCCACTCAGTCGCAAGAAAGACGAGAGGGTAGGCCATTAGTCCGTTTCAAGGAACGTCAATGGTGGCGTTCAGGGAAGCACAAGCGGCGAGCCAGGTGTAGAGGGAGGAAACGAGGTAAGCCACCCCAACGCAGCGTGCAGTTCAGTTCGACAACTTCGGGAAAGCGGCCTTTGCCGAAGGGTCAGAGTCGAAAGGGCAGAGTGGCTAAATACCGCATAGGGGAGAACACAAAACAAAAATGGCACAGGCTTCCCCCCTGCTTCTCGTACCCCTGTCGCGAGAGCAAGGTTTCAAGCTCCAGTATCTTCTCAGGAAATTTGTGCAAAACCAACTCCTCTGCTTCTTTTTTAAGTCTTTCTTTGCACTCTTCCACCTTTGGGTTTGTTTCTCTGGCCATT